AGGTATTGATAATGATATTTATTTGTCCAGTGATATTTATTTGCTAATGATATGTATTGGTCTAAGAGAGAGAGAAAAAGAGAGAGAAGTGGAAAGAAAGAATGAAAGAGGTGGAAAGAAAGAGAGAAAAAGAGAGAGCCAGAGAACCAAGAAAGCAAATAGAATGGGATGGAGGGAGAAGGATGGCAGAGAGGGAAGGAGAAAAAGTATGTCTCCCCTTCACTTCCCGAGCTACCCTGCCAGAAGCCGCACAATATGTGTGAAAGAGCCACGTGTGGCTCCCGAGCCACAGTTTGGCCACCCCTGCCTGTTGGCCATTCCCATAAATGGATAAAATGAGGCCATTTGGGGACCCAACGTGCCCGTGACCGCTTTGGCCAATCCCCCTTCATTTGTGCAAGGCTCTCGCTCAGTAGATTGCACTCTGAGCCTTTGATTTTTAAATGTGACACAGATGAAAGGTTAATTTTTGAGATGCCGATAGTGGTTAAAAAATCATTTGTCATTGTTGCCTAATGTTCTTTTTTCGGTTTACAAATGGCAGCCAGGCGTTATTGCGACTGTCTTGCATGCTTGACGATAACGTATTTAGCATGTAAATCACTGGAGGCGGTGCAATTTCCAGTCCTCGATTTAAAAAAAAAAAAAGAACGATTGTTTGCATCCGATCTTTAGCTTGCAGGATTCGGTCTGGTAAAAGTGTTCATTTTTCACATACGCGTACTTCCGTCATTATTCATACACCAACAGAAGAAAGTGCTGTAGTGCTAGTATGGCCGCACAATAGATTCCGCTGGTCTGCTGCGAGAGGTGGTCGGGTTGCTCGAACGTCCTGCAGGAGTTTGTCTCTGAAGCGGCAGGCTCCCGTTACGACTGTGGATAATTGAGAGAGATGTATTCACCCGTCATCATCTGTGCCTCTGTCTCGGGTCTGCGGGTAAAACTCGTTTGTGGAAGGATACGGCACAGGAATCGTTCCACACACACACACCCCGGTCCACTGCCCGTTGAAGGAATCTCCAGCAGAAAATGAGAAATAACCCAATTAACTTTCTTTTTTTTAAGTCACTCCTGAGTATCAGGAACATAAATCACAGGACTCTCTCACACACACTTTTTTTGTTGTTGTTATTTCCTTTGAAACGTGATTGGCGGCTAAAGGTTTTCTTCCCTCTCTCCCATTCCTTTTCTCCGCACGCCATCGATTTCACTCGGCTCTCCACCGGGCCGGGCACCGCACAGTGCCTACAGCGCCACCGCAGAACGTCCAAGCGGAAGCTGTGAACTCGACCACCATTCGGTTCCTGTGGAACCCTCCTCCGCAGCAGTTCATCAATGGGATCAACCAAGGATACAAGGTTTGGATGAATGCATGCTACAGCCATCGGTACTGGGGCCACAGCTTAGTGCTAGGGCGTCTGCTTTGCGTCAGTCCCCGGCTTCTCTGGTTCTTTTTTTCCCTTTTTTCTTTTACAATTCTTTTATTTATTTACTTACATACATAGACATAAGCAAAGACAAAAGACAGAACATAAAACATCTCTGGTTCAAAGGGATCAAGTAGCAGGTGATGGGAAAGCCCTCCAACTGAGACCCCGGAGAAGCCGCTGACAATCAGAGCAGACAAAAATTCACATTAGTAGACCAGTGGAATAGCCTGTTCAGTATAAGGCAGCTTCACATGTCTGTGTGATGTAGCGCTAGCCAGGGCTCTTTTTGTAGAAAAAGTCCAGCAGGAACTCATTAGCATAATAGGCCACACCCAGCAGCAGGAACTCATTAGCATACTAGGCCACGCCCTCGACAGCACAGCTCATTGGCATATTAGGCCGCACCCCCATGTTACCAGAAGTGTGCTCATCCAGCCACACCCACCTTTTGCTTCTTACTCTGTTTACCTTGTTTGTTGCCAAAACCCAGGGCCTTTTTTTGTAGCAGGAACTCCTTTGCATGTGAGGCCACACACCCCTAATGTAGCCAATCCGAATGAGTTCTTACTGCTGGGTGTGGCCTGTTATGCTAATGAGTTCCTGCTGGGCGTGGCCAACTCGGGAGCCAGCCGGAACGCCGTTCCTGCGCGTTCCTGCCCAGAAATAGCCCTGAGCGCTACAATTTGGTGATGGTAGGTAAAAGGTAAAGCGCCATCAAAACACAGATGACTTACGGGCCACCCGGTAGGGTTTTCAAGAGACGTTCAGGGGTGGTTCGCCATTGCCTGCCTCTGTGCAGCAACTCTGGACTTCCTGGGTGGTCTCTCATCCAAGTGCTCACCAGGGCTGACCCTGCCGAGCCTCCGAGATCGGATGAGTTCAGGCTAGTCTGGGCTCATCCAGGTCAAGGCAAGAGGTGAACAGAGGTGGTTTGCCATTGGCTGCCTCCACGTGGCAACTCTGGGCTTCCTTGGTGGTCTCCCATCCAAGTACTAACCAGGGCAGACCCTGCTTAGATCAAGAGATCTGGCCAGACTGGGCTAGCCTAGGCTATCAGAGTCAGGGCCAATGTTCCCTGTAAGCTGTAGAGCCTTGTGAGCCAAAATTCTACTTTGTGAGCTGCTGGCATTAAAGTTGTGAGCGAGCAACTTGGCCACTGCGTGAATTAGTTTGCTCTGGAGCCCTCCTCCCTGAGCCGAGACAAAAATGTGTGAGCTGGACGCTAAAAATCCGTGAGCTAGCTCACACTAACTCAGCTCAGAGGGAACACTAGTCAGGGCAATTAATTAAATGTCATCAAGTCACAACCTGCTTATGGCGACCGTCTAAGCTTCTCAAGACAAGAGACAGTCAGAGGTGGTTTGCCATGGCCTTCCTCTGCATAGCAACCCTGGGATTCCGTGGTGGTCGGTCTCCCAGCCAAATACCCACCAGGGCCGACCCTGCTGAGCTTCCGAGATCTGACGAGATCGGGCTCTCTCTTCATATTGAAGAACGGCTGGACCAAGCTTGCTGCTCATTTGGAGCCAGCTGGGTTATCTTTGGGCAACATCCGGTGCCGGTTATCAGCCAGTCGACATAAGAGTTGCCCTGTCGGCTTCTCTGGACCAAGCTTGCTGCTCATTTGGAGCCCAGCTGGGTTATCTTTGGGCGACATCTGGTGCCGGTTATCAGCCAGTCGACATAGGAGTTGCCCCGTCGGCTTCCGCTCAGAGCTGCTGTGATCCACTGAACGGACCGATAGATTTGGATCAGTTCTGACAGGCCCAGACTCCGTCCCTGATCTAGTCATTCATTTGTTGCGGGACAAAGAGCAAGTTGTCGTGATTCAGACGCTCGCGTTGCGGTGATGGGCTTTGCGAGGTGTGTGGTAGGGTCACTGCTGAAGCTGGTTTGCAGCATGACTCAAAGAGTAAAACATGGGATGTGTGTGGTTCCTTTGGAGGAGACGCCAGCATCCACCCTTACTGACTGGGCTGTCGCCAAGGAGAAGGTGGCTTTGAGGTTCAGGGCAGATCGTGGGAAGGAGCACAGAGGTAGAAATGCTAGAGTAACACATTCCCCCCCCCCCCCGGCTTCCAGTTTGGTTGGGAAATCCATCTAATCCGATCTCTGCCTTGCTTCCAAGACAAAAGGGGAGGGGGGCACAATATGGTGCGTGAAGTTGGCCATGATCGGCAGGACGCACTATAAACCAGGCAGTGAAAGAACCCTGCTGTGCAATAGTGACACCACACCCGTTGCCCACAATGCACCTGATGTAACCCATGATGCAGAGAGCTGAACGTGCGTCTGCCTGATTCGCACAATAGCCCCTTCCCAAAAGGGAGCACAGCTAATTGCATGCGTTACCCAGTCATGGATTGTTTCAGGTGGAGTGTGGGTGCGTTGGTTCTGCTCTACGGCCATGCAGAGCCTATCACCACCGTGCAAACCTTGAACACTGGGCCATTTATTGTTGGTTTCCTTTCTCTCTGCTATTGGGTGATCCTGCATTGGCGTTTCCCTCCGTTGTTGTACGAAACCCACGTTGGAACAGAAATTCCCCTCTGCATTGCATGCCGCTTTTGCTTTCTCTGATCATCAGATTTTATAGTACCCTCCACACGGCATGCCGCTTTCGCTTTCTTTGATCATCAGATTTTATGAGACCTTCTGCATAGTTTTATGGCCGTTCAGGGGTGACTTTGCCGTCAATACGGGCATTGCCCCAAGGTATTTGAATGTGGTTTTGAGCTGCACTTTTTCTCCGGTTTGAGAAAACGTGAATGCTAGATGCAGAATCGCCCATGAACTGTTGAGTATGTGTAGTGAAGAGTCCAGCAGCTCAAGCTTCATGCATTCTAGTCTGATCACATTTACCCCGAGGAGTTGACGAACCCTATGGGGGTCTTGCTCTCAGGTATGTACGTTTAGGATTGTAGCCCAAATCGCTTATTCCAAAATGGCTAATGTAAGAACAGCAAAGGTGCCCTACCAGATCGGACCAGTGGGTCCATCTAGTTCAGCATCCCGTTTCGCATCGTGGCTGGCTCATTTGTCACGGAGGACTGGCAGCTGTTGTATGGAGGCCGAGCCTTTCCCCCGAGTTTGCCTTTTAGCACTCTTGTTCATAGACTGTCTCCAGAGATGGGGATTCCCTGTATTCACCATGGCCGGTTTGCCTTTTAGCACTCTTGTTCATAGACTAACTGTCTCCAGAGTTGGGGATTCCCTGTATTCACCATGGCCGATAGCCATCGATAGGCCTATCCTCCAAGAATTTGATCCTCTAGACCAGGAGAGGATTATCAGCTGTGGTAAGAAGGGTGTGAGAAAGAGAGGGGAGAAGGATAGGTCGTTTGGCTCCGATCACTACCTGAATCTAAGGAGAATTTGGAGGGGATCTTCAAAGCCAGCTTTCGAGTAGGCTTTCCTCCTCCGCTATTTAAACCGAATATTCTTTAGGAAAAAAATGCTGATTCGTACTTGTCAACGGGCTGATTCGCGCTTGTCAACGGGTAGCGTCCTCTTTGCTTTTCGCTGTCAACTTGTTGCTTTCCTTCGCTTTAATGCCTTTAGACAGCTTTGCAGTTTGTACTTCTCTTACAGATACGTCCCCCCTCCCCGGTACTCTAATACGGGCAGTGCGGGAAGGACGTTTCTACCACATTTCCTTGTACTGCATAATTTGTGTAATGATTTACAAATTACCAGTAGTCGCAATTTTGTGTCTTGGCTTGCCAGGCGAGTTCCTCCCATTGCATGTTTCTTTTCTTTTTTCCTCCCCCCAAGCGGCAAAAGCACTCAGCTTCCTTCTAAGGGACTGTGTAGCACAAAACTCTTGGAAAGCAAGGCGATGTGAAAGCACAGCCGTTGACATTTGGACATTTCTATTGTGCTTTGCGGATATAATTTAGAAAAGCAAAGCAAGCCTCCCCCCCCCCTTTTTTTCCTGTTCTGCCGTTAGGAGACTGTTTCTTTTTCTTGGAAACGGGCTTCAATTTCGCTGGGGCTTTCAAGCTCGGTTTGACAATTCCAGGAGAAAGGGGAGGGGAGGGGCCCGAAACGCATCCTGCTTTCCCCGGTGTTGCTAAGCTGGCTCTCTTGCGTGTGAGGGTGAAGGGTGGATTTTGTATGCTTGCTGTTAAAGCTTATGGACCCGTTGGCTGGGTTCCAAGAGACTGCAGGAATACCAGAAGACTGAGACTGTGCTGTTGCATAAACTGATGCAGATCTACTCCGCTTGAAATCAATGGGCTTAGAGCGGAGTGATTCCGTGTTGGTTTGCACTGTTGGCACGGAGCATTCTCCCTCTCTCCCCTCTCCACTGTCCAAAAAATGGCCGTGGCTCAGCGGCGGTGCATCCACAAGGTCCCAGTTATATCCCGTTCACTCTCTGGCATGTCTGGTCAAAGGGTCTCTTGCTGCAAGGGAGAGAAAAGCCTTCTCTCTGCCCCAGCTAGAGAGCCACTTCTCGTTGGAGTAGACCGTATTGAGCAAGATGGGCCAATGCTCTGACTTGGTGTGTGGGAGCTTCCTGTGTTCCTGCTCCTCTTCATGTATCTGCTCCCTCTCTTTCTCTCGCTCCCAAAGAAACGGTTACCTTTTCAGCTGCCGTAGAATCATAGAGTTGGAAGGGACCTCCAGGGTCATCTAGTCCAACCCCCTGCACAATGCAGGAAATTCACAAATTCCTCCCACACAGACACACCCGTCACCCCTGTTCCATGCCCAGAAGATGACAAAAAAAAAATCCTCCAGGATCTCCAGACAAACTGGCCTGGAGAAAAATTGCTTCCTGACCCCACCATGGCGACTGGCATTTCCCTGGGCATATAAGAAAGGGCCATGAGAACTAAGCACTGATGCACCCTTCCTGCCCTCCCTTCTCGTGATCGGCCTAAGTTCACAGAATCAGCATTGCTGTCAGATGGCCATCAAGCCTC